CCTTCACACAACTGACTTCACTGTTTGTCCCACTGTTCATTAAGTATTACTATTTAAAAAATATATATTTTCCTCTCTATGGGTAGTAAGAACAGGCACAGTATGGGTTACAGGCTCTGCACCACAAAAGGCACCTCAGACAAGTCTGTCATTTACAGTTCCGAAACATTTTTATTTCCAAATTTCATATGTAGAAATATAAATTCTCAGGGCACAATCTGAAATAATATCAGTTGTGATTTGTTTCACTCAGTTAGTTGAAATGAACCAAAAGGTTGGTGAAAAAGTTAAGGGAAGTATAATTTTAGAAAGCTCCTTTTTTAGATGAACAACGTGTAATCACACTAGAAACAGGTTATGCAGAAAAATCTGGATCCAGAACAGCATAAGACATAACATTTAAACTAAGTATCATTTCCAGATGAGATGCAAAGAGCAAAAAATACAAAAAAAAGTGTGCAAACAAGCATATATGGGGATCTAATATCCATTTGACCATTTTTGGCTTATTTCTTAAACTAAGAAAGTATATGTCATTCTTTTATTTAAAATATTACTTCACTCAAGCAAAATACTATATTATAGTTATATACAAAATATAATGCTCTTTTCCAATGTTAATGCATAGCTAACTTAGCAACTAGTCTTTAGTAATGCCTTAGTTTTCACAAGATAAATTGAAGAGCACATCTCAAGGCAAAAGCAATTTGGTGAGGGGAAAAAGTCTAGCCAATCCAGAGCCTGGAAATATAACATCCAAGACAGGGAATGTTATTAATCACTATTATCTTGTTGCAGCAGATAGAGCCAGACATTAAAGTTGTCCCCAAAAATGTTCATAGACTTCACATGGCAATTCAGAGTTACTAACTTTTTGCTCCTCTGAGAAAGTAGTTAAGCTCATAGCATGTTATCTGCAGAGACAGCTTTCTTCATGGAGGGTGACATTCTTGCTAGTGTAGAGGGTCCAGACAAGACCTTCTGAACCACATTTAATAGACTCAAATGGATTTTTAGAGTTTTTGTGCATTCCCTCTGCACTGGTGTGAATTTCACCTTAAAAGGCCTGAGGAGGTATGTAGCAAATATAAGCTCTGCAGGGGAGAACAGGGGAAGTGTAGGAATGAGATGCACCACCTTAATTTTGATGTCCATATGTCATTGACTTTGAGTCTCAGAAGGCAGCTGGTGTTCTTTACGCCCTCCGGGTCCCATCCTGTCTTTATTTTAATAACATTTCTGAATGGACAATGCTGTAAACTGGTGATGGGAAATTTTCTTTTCTTTTCTTTTCTTTTCTTTTCTTTTCTTTTCTTTTCTTTAATGTTTCGCTTTTTCTTTTCTGGAAGTTTGGAAAATATTTTGTCTAGTGAATGTGCATTCTAGAGCTCATTTTAATAATTTGTTAATAAACCACAGGGACCATCGTGAGCATATATGTATTGTTTCCACTTAAAATTAACAAAAAAAAATTAGAATAAATGTGTGAAGGAGGTGGGAGGCATTATGGTTTTGCTTTTAGGTTAAACCTCCTGTTCCACATGCTCTTCTCTTCAAATACGATGTTACACCTCCTGTTCAGAGTTCTTAGCAATAATTCCATAACTTCAGTTACCTTCTCAATAAATAGTTCAAGTGATTAGAATGGTGCTGGTTTGGAGAACTATAGAATTATAGAAAGTAAGAGCTGTCAGCCAGCTGATCTCTTTTTATCTGTGGAGGCCAGACTGTTGGATAACTTAGTTTACAGCTGATATTGACAACACTAGTCTGACTTTGATTGAAATGATTATTGGGATTCCCCATTCTTCCCAGTAATATATGAAAATAGCCTGTGCTGGCTAATTTATTCATCAGATTATCCAAGTGCTAAGGTTCTGATAGAGTTCTTGGCTCCAGGAGTGAGTGTGGGCAACGGTGAGCATGGTCTGTGGTTAGCTTTGCAGTACCCCCGCACTAGCAGAGTGGGTCATTTTATTCAGTGATTCCTTTATGCAAGTGTGGAGGGAGAAGATGCAGAGAAGAGACTGTATAATGATATGTACTGTGGGATTCTCCAGCTGGATAGTTACAGTGGCATTGCTATACTGTCACCAGTTATGTAAAGAACAAAATGGCTTAAAAATTAATTAAAATAGAATATGAAAATATGTGAGAGTCTCAATATGAGAGACTGTGAGCAGGGTCATTGTGACACAAATTAAAACAGTAGGGTTTTGAATCCCCTTAAAATGCTCTGAAACTGTTCACTGTATATATCTACATATTACAGTAGAGATAGTTAAATTGTACATTTTTCCCACAGTGCTTTCAGTGAGAGATTTGCAGTCTGTGGAATGTGTGTGTGTGCCTGCGCATGTGGGTATATAATAAAAATAGGTCTTTATTATTATATAAATATTAACAAACTCTTAAAGTGGGATTATCAGTCTGTGTTTTACACACACATACACAGATGCAAGCAGAGATAACTACCTACAGCTAAAATCTGAAAGGAATTGTTGTAGGAGACAATGAACTATCAGGCAGATACCTTGGATTGCCTGAAGGACTCTTGCAGATTGACCATAGGAAGTGTGGTAGATTACTGCTCTATGAGGCATCAGTGTATGTTTTGGTGCAATATAAATAATATACAAATTAAATATGTAAATGAGTTTGCTTCTTCTCATCTTGTTTCAAAAGCCACCACCCACTTTGGCATGACAGGATCTCTTCACAGGAAAGTCCTGGGGCTAGAGTAGCAGAGGTTAGGATTACAGGGGAATTGAAGCAAGGTGATAGAGCTAAGTATGACAAGCTTGCCTAAGCCCTATTGGTTATTTTAATCAGACCGTAAATGCACTCACAAAGAAAAATGTAGGATATTTGTTATTATTCCAATATTGCCTGGTACTCCCACTTTAATTAAGTTAGTCAGTAGTTATGCTGAAATAAATCCCTATTTTCTACGTTTTAAAATTTACCTGCTCTAGGCTGAATCTGGCCATACAGGACAGCAGTTTGTGTTAGTGTGTGCACAAGCTTGTGTAAAATCTGTCATTTTGCACATAGTAGTGCAGAAGAGAAAAAAAACACATTTACTTTTGGGAAAGGGTGTTGTTTTCCCCCAGTGCATTCTTCTAAAGTTAATGTTTCATTTTAAAAGAAAATTGCAGAGTGAGAAGCACTTCTTACCTTCTGCAAACTGTGAAAAGTTTTTAAATCATGCTGTCATTTTGGAGCCTGCTGCCATGTTACAGAAAAGCAACATAATTTGAGACAGAGATAGTATAAGAGCCCAGTATGAAAGACTGTAAACCAATTGACATTTTGCAGTGATACTGGTTTAAAAGAAGAAGAATTTTATAATGTAAAACCTTTCATTTGAATATTAAACCTGAACTTTCTTCTACTGGTGAACTCATATAAAAGCATAATAGAAACTAGTTTATTACCTCCTACATTAGATGTAAGTGGAGATAAAATTTGCTATATAAAACCTTGTATTTCCTGCCTAGAATATAGATAAAGGTGTCTGTGATATCACAAATGTGAGACTGTGAAATTAATGCTGGTAAAAGGTAGAATCATTTTGTTCTTTACTTAAGTGGGTAGCACTGTAGCTCCACTTTGCTCTGCTATTCAGAGTTATATGCTCATCCCTAGGTTCCTATTTGAGAATAAAATATTTAGGATTATGACTTGTCCACTTACTGTCCATCCTCTCTTTTTAATTTTCCTTTCCATTTTAATAATCTTCAAAGTAAAAACAGTTCACTGGTTAAATATCGTTTAAAAACACAATGCTCCTAAATGCGTGGGATGAAGCAATTTCGGTTACAGAACTGATATCACAACCACATACAGAGTCGTTAAATTTGTGCTTTAACAGCCTAATCCACGGGCCTTATGCCAGTGCACACGCCTCCCTCCATTTAAAACCAGTAAACCACATTCAGCCTTGGCTCCATTGACTTCCGGGAGAATTGCAGCACAGCTGAATTTGGTTCACTAAATTCAATATTGCACCTTCTAACTTTAAAATGTGAAAGGTAATATTACATATCAGTAGGGAGGATTACAACTGAAGAAATTAGAAATTCAGTTAGCAAAGTGGGGAGCTTTTCATGAGCCAATTTATTTAATTAAAATTAATATCCATTCACTGGAAATAACAACAACAATGGAACTGCAGGGTCACATCCTCTTGGCTCTGATTCTCTTCCCTCCTGGCTCTTCCCCAACATTGTCAAGTTTCAACCAGAGACTAGAGGGAGATTTGGAGCTCTTCAGATTTTCCAGCCCAAATTGTACAAGGTGATGGGTGGCAATGCTTTATGCGAACCATTACTGGCTTTCTGAATACCACAGTAATCAACAGGCTAAAGTAATTGAAAGCTGCATGTTGCCACATTACATGTTGCATCGTGCCACAGTGCCAGGCCCCGTTCAGAACCATGTGATCAACAGAAATATCGTTCTGTACTCGTCCCAAAGTACATTTGGGAATTTTGTTTAGAGCTGATCAGTCAAAAAAATTTTTTTGCTTATTTTAAAATATTTTACCCTAAAAGGCAAAAAGAAAAAAATTGAGAAAAGTTAAGCAGGGGAAGGGCAATGGGTGTACAAGGATGGTGAAGTGTGTTTACCACAGCTGGGGCTACACCTCAGATATGTTATATATACAGAATACATTTCCTTCTCCATAATGTCATGTGAATATCTCCTTCCCACATAGCTTGGTGTCCAAATGTCCCGATCATGTCTAATTCTGAATAACCCCAAGTTCACTAAGGGGCAAATCATCTCCCCTCCTCTGTAGGAGCAGAGAGCCCTCTTGCAGCAGAACTCAGAGCACTTATACTGTGTGGAAGGGGGACACTACTGAGAGAGCTACACGTGAGTGGGGTGCAATCCCTATGAGTCACAGAGCCCAGCTCACAGGGGTCTCTGCTTGCATAGCAAAGGTGTGGAGAAAGGGTCTGGTGGATGCACTTCTACGCAGATCCACCAGCTGTTTCCTCTCCCTTCCCTTGTAAGGAAGGGGAGGGGGATGAGGAACGCTGAGGCTTTGCTAGCATTATAATTAGAGGAGTAGCCACATAATGGTTCCATTCTTACTACTCAACAGAGGGAGAACTAATTTTCCCCCCACCCTCCGCTTTTGTGGATTTTCCCATTGCCTGGTCCAGCTACTTGGAATGGGCTCTGCTTCTGTTTATACCCCTAATTTTCACCAGTGCTATGTATGTTCTTTCTCCACACACCGAATACATGTGATGGCTATACTCTGTGGTTCTCTTTCACCTTTGCAAATGAGGAGAGTGGTTACTCATGACCAGTACTCAAATTGGCTGGTATGAGAAAATGACAGTAGGCTCCCTCTTCTGTGTTTTTGGTTTTTTTTAGCCAGCCATGATGGGAAGAGTAGGTAAGACATAATCACCTACCCCTGTCCAATTCCAACACTGCTCACAAAACAGGTTGGTTGTCCTAGCTTGTGCTCTGAGCTGTTTCTTCAGAAATTCCTCTTCTGATGGAGCATTTTGGTGCTTTCTTTCTTTCAGGGTGTTCTTTGTATTATTACAAGTTGTTCAGAAGAGGCCGATTTTAATGTAGCTTCATTTAAAATTGTAAAGCGCTTTGAGATCTGCGGATGAAAAGCACTATATAAAAACTAGATCTTTTTTAAATGACTTGAGGCATCATGAGAAACTTGCCTTCTGGGATCCAAAGCTCAGATCAATGAAAGAAACATAAGAAAATAATGAAAATGGGGAGTTTGGGCCCTTTATTTAAAATCATGTAACGTGCAGTATATGGACAGAATGTACTATTTGTGCCAGAACTAGTAGCCTTCATTCCTGACTGTTGTGTGATAGCTTTAGTTTGTTTGACATCTTCTCTTTTTCAATGTTGTGAGTATCTTACTTTCTTTTCCCTTTCCTTCCCACCCTTCCCCCAACTCTTTTTTTTCTTTTTGTGCTCTAGAAATCAAGTTCCTCCACCACAACTGGAGAAAAGATCACAAAAGTCTATGAGCTGGGAAGTGAGCCAGAGCGCAAGATGTGGGTGGATCGATACCTCACCTTCATGGAAGAAAGGGGCACGCCTGTGGCCAGTCTGCCAGCTGTAGGCAAGAAGCCACTGGACCTCTTCAGGCTTTATGTCTGTGTCAAAGAGATTGGAGGTTTAGCACAGGTGAGTGGAAGTGGATGAAACTAGACCATCCAAAAACTTAGCCCTGCATTCCTCCTAGAATATTTTCTGCTAGTTGCAGCATTACAAATTCTTCCCTGAAAACAAGGGGGAAAAGACATGGAAGTTTCAGTATAACTAATGTTTGAAGGTAAGTAAGCTCATGTGTAAATCTAACCCAAATTAACCTGCCATGCACTAATGGACCGTGTGGACCCTGCTGCTGCATACTAAAAGATCTGTAGCATGCTTTGATCTACTCCTGTTTCAACTCTGTTTGAATTTTTAGTGTGCAGCGGCAAGGTCCACACAAGCGCTTAGTTTGGGGTAGGTTTACACCCCAGCTTGCCATGAACTCAGGGTTTATGTAAACAAGCCCTGAGGTTCACTTTGGACGGCACTAGTGCTCTCATAGTGCACAGTGTGGCTCTAAATTGCCTAGTGTCAAGGGAGCTTAGGCTGCTGTCTGATCAAGGGCACTCTAGTAGTGCTAAGAGAGAATCAGAAGAGATGGCCATTGGATTAAAGAGAAGGGTTAGAAACATGGAAGAAGATCAAAACAGGTGATGGAAAACAGCTGTTCTAGAGATGGAAAAAAAGAGAGCGCCTGAAATCCATCCATCTCAGACAGGGAAGTGCCTCTAGGAAAAGTCGGTTCAAATCTCTTAGGAAGTGGTAGGAGTATGTAATTTGCAAGCAGTCTGTCCCAAACCATTCTTCCCTCTGTATGTTTAGATTGTATACTCAGCTGGGAAGAGACTGTGTTTTCCTCTATGTTTGGAAAATATTTACCACATGTCTTGCATTGTCTCAATCTATATAAATACAATAATAATCAATAATGGGGAAACCTAACCTAAAGGCAGGAAGGTAAATTGGGGAAGAGGCTGCAAATAAAAAAGATGTTGGTAGAAGTCAGAGATATAGTTTGCTGCATTGAACCTTGTCTTTCCCACTGAGAGTAAATATGAGGCCTGTGATGTCACAGGTGAAAGAATATGATGTTCTTTTCCCACATGCGAATCGGGTTAGTAATAGCTGCCTGACTCACACAGATGCTGTGAACATTAACTTATTTAGGGTCGATCCCATTCATGTCTTTAGAGCCGGATTGATCCTTTAATGTTTGTGGAGCACTTTGAAAGGGTAAAGCACTAGAGTAGATACTAAATATTAAGTAGTAGCATTATTGGATTTGGGATTCAAAACCTTCTTTTTGTCTTGCTGGCCCAGGCCTGCTGTGTGCTGAATGCTTCCTGTGAGATGGTGAGAGCTCACAACTCGAACTGAATTAAGGGTGATCAGTACTTTGCAGGATTAGGCTCTAAATTATGAGTTAGATGTAACTAAAATACACATGATCTCTACACTAAAACACACAATCTGAAAACAGAAGTATGTTAAATTGAATTGGGCCCATGGAAAGTGAACCCCTGGTAATGCTCCCACCTAGCCAGTTCTGGAAACCCACTTCCAACAGTGATTACTGCTGATTTGAACAGTAGTACTCTGCATAGCATGATATAGCATATTGAATTAGAGCATGGTCATTCAAGTCCAGTGATGCTAACTGGCGCCGCAAAGGAAGGTAGAAAAATCTAATGTATTGCACCTTGCCACTTGTTAAATGCTGTCCATGGATGAAAGGTGGGGTTTCATCCTGACTTTTGCAATGACCAGCTGATGTGTGCCCCGGAGTTTTCCTGAACTTGCAAACTTTATTATTGGTCATAACACTCTGCAGCCCTCTTTTTAAGTCTAGCTACAGCATTTGACTCAGTGTCTACAGAGGCTCGAATGCTTCTGCACAATTGGTTAATATTAAACCATTAAATATAAGTGGGAGTTGAAATTTGAAATCCTAAAAAGGCCTGCATGTTTGTTTATAACAAGGGTCATTTCTTATTTATTTAAAAAAAAAAACATTTTGGGCCCAAGCTTACTTTCCAATATGGACCAACATATATTACCGATGAGGAGATGCTGTCCCACTTAGATACAATTTTGAAAGGAACTTGATTTATAGGTTTGTAGGCTACAAAGGTTGATTGTTCACTGTGGGCTTGTTAACATGTATTCTCTGGTTAGGGCTACAGAGAAATGCACATGTTCGTCTAATGAGATTTATTTAAATATAGTTGGATGGTGCCCACCTGAAAAGCATAGTTGCCCCTACCGCTGCTCTCCACGTTTCATGATCTCTGCCCACTGAGTGACAGGATGTAGATGTGCAGCGATGGTGCGTATTTATCCTCCTGAAGCATTGCATTTCAAGGTACACCAAATAGCGCTTTGCTTCCCTCTTCCAAAGCCATGGTAGACCTGCTGTTGGCAGCCTTGTTTTATATGCCAATACACTGGACATTTAGGCACTGAGTACTTCTGCGTGCATTATGCAGTGTGTTTGTTGTATACCACGTAGTGCTAAGTAAATGGGCAAAAAAGGGCTGTGTGATTGGGGATTTAAGTCTCAAAAGTGCCAGTTTATGAAAATCACTTTCTCTTTGACTCCTGGATTGCTGCCAGATGTACCTGGAATACACAGGGAAAATAAAACTCTTCACTCAGCCAGGCCAGTCTGCATGTAATTAACTCTTTTGCCAAGAGAACCATCCTATCTGGCAGCTGTGAAGGGGTTATTGAACACAAAGATAAAAACTATATAAATATCTCCTTGGCTGGCATATAGGGTTGGCAACAGATATGACCAGTAATAAACTTTGTAGCTATTTAAGCTAAAATAGGGTGATAAAATCTCATGCTTCAGGACGTAAACTGATCATCATAGCATTCAAGAAGTAAGCTCCCCCTCTCCCTCCCCTGCTGGACCAATGGTCTGATCTGATGTGGCAAATCCAGTGTGCCTCAACCTAAGAGCATAGTTTGAACAGTTGCTTTCAGTACTCTGGCATACGCAGCAAAACAAGGCTCACCCCAATGGCATGCTTGTATCAGCAGAGCTGTAATACAGAACATTACTGCACTGTTCCAGTGTGTTTGAAGTCTGTCTTAATTAATAAGGGGCCTCACTTGACTCTGCATCTCCTGTTGCAATGGGATCATTGATCAATCCCACAAGAAGCCTTAAAGTGAAAGGATTTGAACCAGAAATTGCAGGCTAAACTACCTGACAGCTGGTGGCTGTTCTGGAGGAAATGTTTTTCATATCAGTGCTGAAACACTTAAACTGCAGAATAACATTGTTATTGCTTTTTAAATTAGTTTTTAGAAGCTGCTTTTTTAATTAGAATAGGGTGTGTGTGTGTGTGTCAGAGAGAGAGTCAGTGAGTGTGCATTTGAATGGAGATAAATAGCTAACTGAACAGCACAAGCCTTGGAAGAGTGCAAGGCATTTAAAAGATGCACCATGCAGAAGACTCTCAACAAGCTTTTTATGTAGCTATCAGCAGGTTCCTTAATGGTTTTATAACTGTAAACGCTGTTTGTGCATTACTGAGTGGGGGAGTAATGAGCATTAGTTAAAAGAGGCAAATAAAAAAAGTAAACCAAGACATTAAGTGCTCTTTTTCCTCTTGGCTTTAAACAAGCCGCCTTGCTGCAAACCAATACTTCTGCCATTTATTTTGCTAGGTTAATAAAAACAAGAAGTGGCGCGAGTTGGCAACCAACCTGAATGTTGGCACTTCAAGCAGCGCAGCCAGCTCCCTGAAAAAACAGTATATTCAGTACCTGTTTGCCTTTGAGTGTAAGATAGAACGAGGGGAGGAGCCCCCTCCAGAGGTCTTCAGCACTGGAGATACTAAGAAACAACCTAAGATTCAGCCGCCATCTCCTGGTAAGTAGAAGAACTGCAGCCTCTTATACAATAATTCACTAGACTGCATCCTGCATCTCAAATCTCCTGTCCCAGCAAACATTTTAGAAGCATCCCTTGCTAACCTTAGATAAGCTAGCTAAAAAAATACTCCTTGGGGATCCTATGTGTTCTGAACTGGCTCCAAGACAGTATGAAAGTTAACTCTAAGGGGTAGACTGCAGAGATGCGTATATGCCCACACATCTTTAAGCATTTCTTTGTCTCTGTCTGAAAAATACAAGCATTCTAACGATCAAACTGTTAAATGGAAATAATAACAGCAGTGTTCTACAGGGATGTTCCATCCCTTGCATTTGCTCTCTGTAAGACATCAGATACCCAGGACTAAATAAATAAATAAAGTAAGGAAAGGCTGGATTCTCCCATCCACACTTCAACTACTGGAAATCTGGAGCCAAATTTCAATGGGCCTGCTGGCAAGTAAAAGAACTACTCAGTGTGAGTAACAATGGCAGCTTTTGGCCCAATAAATGGAACTCAGCCTGCTGCTCCACTACTGTTTATTTGAAATGCCTGGCAAAAAAAGCAAACATGATTCTGGGATGTATTAACAGGTGTGTTGTGAGCAAGACACGAGAAGTCATTCTTCCGCTCTACTCTGCTCTGGTTAGGCCTCAGCTGGAGTATTGTGTCCAGTTCTGGGCGCCGCATTTTAAAAAGTAAA